TCTGCTTAGTTTGGAACTAAATGGTGTTGTATGAATGTGGTAACATATTATTATTTTATTTATTATTATTTAATATATTATTATTTTGATTATTATGTAGAAACATTTTTTATAGAATTGAATAAGTTATTTGCTTTTAAACGTTGTACAAAAGTTGTTATAAATGACATAAGTGCTAACTTTTAGTCATAATGACAAGCAAAAGATTACATAAATCATTACAAATTACATTAAAAATGGAAATAAAGTTACTAGGCTACGAAAAGAAATTATAACTTAAAATTATTAATAAAATAACTAGAAATTTAAATATTCCAAACAAAAAAAAAATTAAGCCCGTAGAACACTTCATTCAGCGAATAGAAACAGTTTTGTTTGAGTTAGATTTCAACTGCTTTTTTAATTTAGGTAGAGGTAGAAGTTAAGTATCTTCTGGCAACGTAATAAAGACTTTGAAACACATGGAACACAGGTTTTTTGATACAAAGGTGTTGTATTGATAATTTAAAACTAGTCTATCTCTGTGTCTTGTGTTTTGTGGAAATACGTCTTTAGCGTTGCTTTATACTTGTGGATGCGACTTACAAATACCCCAACTTCCTAAACATATATATATATAAACCAAAGTCAATATATCAAGATTTAAAAAAAATTGACGACATGACTCATAGGGATGCCTGCTATCGCTGTAGGCCTCAAATACCCTATCACCCTCACACACTTTTTTGGCTAAAAAAGATCTGTTTATATCTGTGGAATTGCTCTACACTAAGATCCCATACCGCAATACTGGTCCTACGTAGGTGCCATTAGTACTGTTTGCAGAACTGCAGTCTTACGGAGTCTTGATACTCGTAAAACATATACGAATTTGTTTACTTTACTGTAGATATCGTCTACATATGGCTTCCAATTGCAAAATTTATCTGTAGTTACACCTAAGAATTTAATTTTTGTGGATTAAAGGCATAATATATCCTTTTTCGTATATTTTATTAAAGATCAGAGGTTTTCTCACGAGTATACTAAAAAAATATAAAATTTCATGTAGTTTGATGTAATGGTTAGCAGTAAAAGCGTAACGAACACTACAAACAAACAAATTCATATTCTTTTGAGAGTTTTCTGTATACATGTAATGTTAATGATAGTATGTTAATGAATGTTAACGCAAGAGACCTAAACTTCTTTACTAAGTCAAATGAATAGGTCACATAAAACAAAATTACCTATGTTGTATGAAGTTGTATGGAGTCATGTCAGTCATGAAGTGGACGTGTCTTCCTTTATTCAGCATCATCCAACAACATTTCAGCGATATTACGCTACACATAGACATAGGTCTCCCTCAAAGACTTTGTAAAAGACTGGTTGGAGACGGCCTCCATCCACGATCAACCTACGATCTTTCTAAGGCCATCTTACCACCTTGTTGGTGGATGTCTTGCACTGCGCTTGGCAATCCGTGATCTTTATTCCAGAATTTTAACTCTTAATTCTATATTTTAAATGATTTTGATAAATTTATCCAACGAAAGGCTTTTCGATTCATTGGAAATATATTTTAACATGTCACAGTGGTGGGATTTTGACATATATCTCCACCATTTGCCGACCACAATCTATCTATAGAATTATGACTGTTATCCATATTGATCCGTGTGTGGGTTGGTAAGAAAGGGGTTACTTCTATATCGACATGAGATAAATATATTTTCATAGTTTAAAGGATATTTTTTGATAATATTACCAAGACATAATATGAAGATGTATTCGTGTAGACAATTACAATGTATTCATGAATGTTCCATTTAAAACATATAATGTCTATTGTGGGAGTGCCTTGCACAATTCTTTCCTTGCTTATAAACGTGTGAGTAAGGTTATTGAAGCCCAATTCCCCATGTGGCGACTCCCACATAGAAAGAAACAGAAACATAATACAGCGCCATCTAACGAAGACACGCACAATGAGAATTGCTAATCCTGTATCGCGATATCAACAATTCTTTAACCGATTAGCATATATACAACCTTCCAATATCAACCATTGGGCCGCGACCCGCCAGGCATGATCAATTGGCCTGGTCGGAGGATCCTCAATTTGTGTTGGAGGGACATGATACCCGTTCCTCCAACTCCCTTCCTATGATCCCGGGAGCAGTACCCAAAGTACTGCAGTAAGTAAGTTGCAGGTGTCCATGGACGGTGGTAGTCACTTACCATCAAGTGACCCGTATACTCGTTTGACCGACCTCCTATATCCAAAAGAAATTTTAAATATATAACATCCTCAACCTATTAGACCTATTAAATCTCTAGACGATATCTATTAAACATTTCTTAGTACGTAATACCTTTTAATAAAGGCAGAGTATTCATGATTACATGACTGTACGGATGGCGTAGTAGTTTAAGCGGTCGCCACGCCGCTTTCTACTGTGTGTTCAAACCCCACATGGGAAGACACTTTGTGTGACCCACAAATGGTTGTTCTGAGTCTGGGTGTTCTGTGTCCGTTTCATGTATGTTTGTAAAGACCCCCGCGACACAGGATATATTCCTAATGCGGCTGTTGTCTTTTTAAAAAAGGAAAAGGAAAAAAGGACTACCTACTGAACAAAAGGCTATTTCATTATCAGCCTGTCGCAGTCCACTGTTGGACATAAGCCTCTCCAATTGCACGCCACTTAGATCGATTTTGGGCTTCTCGCATCTCATAAAGGGCTATTTAAATAGTCTCAATTTGATTTTATTACATTTTATCTCGACGTTAAGGAAAAGGGTCTATTTATACCTTAATTACTAGGCTAATTTAATTGGACCCTTTGGATAATTTGTACGTAGTTTCCAAATGCAAATTAAAGCTTTTGATCAAACCAAACCTCTATACACATTTATATATCTTATTTTTTATTTGAACATTATAAAATAATGTTGTAAATGAAATTATTATTTTGGTGAGTGTGATACTAAATGAAACTGAACTAACTGAACTTTTTTTTTTTTTTTAAAGACAACTCCCGCATTAGGTATATATCCTGTGTCGCGGGGGACTTTACAAAACATACATAAAACGGACACAAAGAACAACCAGACTCAGAACAACAAATTTGTGGATCACACAAAGTGTCGTCCCATGTGGGGTTTGAACCCACAACACTCGGCGTAGTAGGAAGCGGCGTGGCGACCGCTTAAACCACTACGCCATCCGTGCAGTCAAGTATGCTGAAGGTAATCCCATATAATGTTACTAATAATCGTCTTAACCTTAGTGCGCAAACTGTTATTGAAATTTCATTCTCTGTAAAATGTACAGTTTAAAAAAAACCGTTGGCAGTACTGCAAAGGCGAGTAATTACCAAGGAAATTTTTTTATATCATGGTGGATATAAAATTATCTTTACGTCTTTCGGTACAAATTGTCGATGCGCTATACATTCACGGCACGGCAGCTTTAACAATTTCCTGAGTATATTATTTTACTGAAGTGTGTTAACGCTAAATGCACGCTAACTATGTTTGGTTCACAGCCTGCACGAGTAAAAGATTAACAAACAGCTTCAAATAAAAATTAAGTAACATTAACTGCTTCTATTCATCTTAGAGTGATAAGGTTTCTTTAGAGAATACGAACAAATATTTTTTTTTTGAGCTTTCTCTAATGAAGCATTTTAGCGAAACTCAAAAGACGAAGCAATTATGAGCAAGGCTTTTTGCATCTTTTTGCTTGAATAGCAAATATTAATTATTTTGGGTGAAATGTGGCTTCTTTTACAATTTTAAAAGGCCGATTAGTAAACACTTCAACCTTAAGTAATTAGTTATATTTTAGACAACTTGCATTTTCATTTTGAACCGCAAGATACTTGTTCATCACAATTTAGTAAAGAATTTGTGTGTTTTTAGGGTTCCCTACTCAAACTAACCATATAACTAAGCTTCTGCTGTCAATATGTATGCCAGCTGGCTGTATCTCATGAACCATAATAGGTAGATAGCCTTTATGAAAGCTTAAGGTTTACATGTAAACGTCCATACTTATATTATAAATGTGAAAGTGAGCTTGTTTGTTTATTTGTCACGCTTTCATGCCTAAACCACAAGACCGATTTTAAAAATTATTAAACCAATGAGAAGCAGATCAGCGAGTAACATAGGCTTTTTAGGGCGATAACCGACATAAAGCATGTGTAGCCGTGTAATAATTTTAATTTATTAAAACATATTTCATTATATAAAAATATACTTGAATATCTTTGTAAAAACTATTGAGATGTAAAAGTAAATGGTTTTGAACTTATTCCTAGTGGGAAATCCGATTAGAAATGATCCAAAGTCCCTCAGGGGATAAGTTAGCTCTCGGACAATATGGAAATAGGGGTGTTACACAAAATCATGAGCGTATTTTTAAAAACTCATAATATATCTGAAATGAAAGCAAGACACAGTAAATCATACACGCTGTATCTTTTACATCATAGCTAGATATTGAATTTCAGCATGTGAGTATTACTAGTTTTTTAACAGCAAACAATAAATAAAATAAAGTAAAAATCAAAGGGCCTATAAGAAATGTATTTTTTGTATGTTTTTAGATTAACATAATGTGTAATAGCAATAGGTAGATTAAATGAATTACGACAAATACATAGTTATATAGGTATCACCTATCTTTGTTCTTCTCCAACAGTATTTAGAATGTATACAGTAGTTAAATTTTATTGACTGGTACGGAATCCTTATCCTATAGGGTGGATTAATTATTCAGACAAACAAAATGTTTAATCAAATACATGTTGAGACAAATTTTGCAGGATTTGTCTCAACAAGTATTTGATTAAGGTGACGGTGTGTGACGGTGGAGGTGACGCGGTTTTTATGTATTTGAAGTCCTTTAAATTATATTTTATTATTGTGAAACAAAATGCTCGTTATAGCTGTATTCTAAGCGAAAATTCTAGTTTGTAAAAAATACAAATAATTCTTTATTAACTTACCGCATTAGGGCCGTTCGTGGAACGTTTTAGAAGCTTCTGCCGTTTCCTGTCTGTCGTTGTTAATTTCGATATTAGACACGTACTTAGTACCGAGAGCGCAATACTCGGCACAAGCTTTAATATAACACTATAAATCCACATAATTGCAGTTAGCAACTGAACATTTTTCGTCAACTCCACTAAGTATACGGTCCGATTGTCTGGCAGAGATAGATCTTCTGCAAATTCTGAATTGTTCATGGGTGTTACTTCACTGGGTATTATATGCATTGCAAAAAATATCGGTAGACACAAAAAAGGACATATCACATATGCACTAATAATCGCAAGGGATGTGTTTTTTTTACTGCACCATGTACTATTCCTTTGTGGAAATGCGATTGCGATATATCTCCATACTGCTAAAGTCACTGCCAACCAAATAGAAATAGTATGAAACGTTTGACTAAATATGGAATGAAAATACACAAACACAGCCCATGCGTAAGTGTTCTTATTAACTTGAGGGCCTATTTTGATGTTCATGTGTAGTGCGTACGGTATATATTCGAGCATCACTAATAGGTCTGCGGTTGCAAGGCCAGTAAGGATTGAGTTTGTAGAGCTGGTCATTTCGCGGCGGCTGAGAACGGCGATGTTGATGGAATTGGTGGCTGATCCAATAATGCATATCACTATTGCGATGTAGCCATGCAATCGACTGTAGGCTTTGTTGAAGTTGGTTGCGCCAGGCACACAGTAAGCGTCTGTGGCGTTGGCCATGTTTGCGGTCGACTCGCGTTCTACCGCGGCTTGTCATCGGCACTAGAGACGCAAAGGCCTCACTGGAAACAACTTCAACCACCTCGTTATGTCTTGCGTCGTCATAATCTGTAACAAATAAAATTTATAGTTTTATTTTGTTTATATTGTTGTATATTTTATACACTCACGTCTTTATCCCTGAAAGGGTTCGCAGAGGTATTACATACACGTTTTATTGACTATAATTTTAGCCCAATAACATAATAGGCGGTAAGCCTATTACCGTCAACGAGAGACATATATTGCTAAATAAACACACTTACATGGCTTTAAATATTTTATATTATAGATAAATTATACCCAGATACAGCACAAATGGTCGTGCTCATCACTAAGCATTTGTCCTGGGTGGTAATCGAACCCATTAACTCTTGCTGTGACTCTGTTTTTAGTTTACTGTTTAGTTGATTGATTCATTATACTCGTATAATTGAAGATATTGCATTATTGCGGATACTGTAATTGGGACTGTTCTAGCAGTAGTTAAGAACTAAAACAATGATTTTTGAAAACCATTCATGCCATCAAAATGTAACTTTCGGCATCAACTGTTTCAAATACGTACACCAATTCTATTACATTTAATGTTTTACTTTTATTATTGTACATACGCGACTAACAAATCATTTTACAAATTTTTGTTTCAAATTACGGCTCTTATATTAACCCAAATCACACCGACCTATTAGTCTCACATCTTTCCTACTAAAGGTTCTCGAGAGGCTAATAGATAGGGAAAATCAGGGAAACTGCGTTAGTCAGTCACCCTCTACACCTCAATCAACACGCATACTCGATGGGTAAATCAACAGAATCTGCCTACATCGAGTTGTTTCATATATAGAAGACAATCTAAATCACAAAAGGTCAACACTGGCCACCTTTATCGATATCGAGGGAGCCTTTGACAAGACCAACTTCACCAGCATTAGCCAAGCTCTGTCTAGGCATGGTGTTGATTCCACAATCGCAGGGTGGATCGACAGCATGCTAAGATATAGAGCTATTCAATTCACTGTGAGCGAAGTGACTAGAGGAGTGGTGGCTAGAGGTTGCCCACAGGGCGGTGTACTCTCCCCCCTTCTATGGAACATTGTTGTGGATGAGCTCATCGCACAACTTAATGACCAAAGATTCCTCACAATAGGCTATGCAGACGATCTTACTATTCTCATCAGCGGTCCTTTTGAGAGCATTACATGCGATCAAATGAGACTTGCACTGAAGATCGTGGAACAATGGTGCGTAGCACACAACCTGACAGTGAACCCATCGAAAACAGAGATGATCATGTTCACAAACAAACGCAGCCTAGGAAATCTCAGACTTCCCAAGCTATTTGGAACACAACTTACTCTTACCAAAGAGGTCAAATACCTAGGAGTAATACTGGACAGTAAACTCCTGTGGAATAAGCACCTCAATGAAAAACTGAATAAAGCCTGCATTATTTTCTGCCAATGCAAGCGGCTACTCGGCAAAAGCTGGGGACTATCACCCAAAATTACTTTATGGCTATACAGGACAGTCATAAGACCAATAATCGACAACAGCACCGTAAGTGATACTTACGGTGCTGTTGTCTGGTGGCAGAGAACAGAGCCAAGCACCGTCATAAACAAACTGTAGCAATTCCAGCGACTCCCATGCTCCGCGGTCACTGGCTATATGCGCACAACGCCTACTGCCGCACTGGAGGTGGCTCTTGGTCTGCCACCCCTGGATCTATTCATACAGCAGGAGGCCGCCATGGCGATCATTAGACTCAAACACCTGGGTCTATGGCACAAAAGTGAGGGATCGCACTTCAAATTATGGGATCAATTGGTGGAATACGAACCACTGATAGCAGCTCCATGCGATAGAATCCCAAAACACCATATCTTCACAAGAAGTTACTACATCCAGATACATGGAAATGACCGAGATCAATCCGGCATTAACGAAGTCCGAATTTACACGGACGGTTCCAAGACTAGGTCAGGAACTGGAGCCGGAGTGTTCTCGCAAGACCTAAATATAAACATATCACTAGCGTTAGGCCAACACAGTTCCATATTTCAATGTGAATGTGTGGCAATAACTTACGCTGCCACAACGGCCGTGTCAAGGGGTATCAAGGACTACAACATCCGAATAATATCCGACAGCATGGCCGTCTTAAAGGCATTGGAGGGCAACACAATGATCTCTGGTGTTGTCTTCGAATGCCACCAAGCACTGGAACAGCTCGCTATATTCAATGGGGTACTCCTCCAATGGATTAAAGGGCACAGTAACTCACACGGGAACGATGCCGCAGATGAGTTGGCAAGGAGGGGTTCGGCAACCCCAACCTCTGGCCCAACCCCACTCCTGCCCATATCGTTTAACCAAATACGATGCTGGGTCAGGCAACGTACCTGTGAAGCACACAACGGGAGGTGGAAAAACTCACCCGGCTGCAGACAGTCCAAACTGGTGCTGAATCAAGTCACACCACGACTCACCTGCAGATTGATCAGTCCTAGCAGACCGGAAATCAGAATGGTTGTCGAAACTATTACAGGACATCTAGCCCTGAACCGACAACTATTCATAATCAATGCGACGGATAGTCCCCTGTGCATGGGGGATGTCTGGAAGCTGAAGAAACGGCCGTCCACGTAGTCCTGGAATGCGAGGGAGTGGCCACACAACGGGCAAGTATCATTCCTGACATAAAGTCGCTCCTAGAAGCCTGTGAACGCCCCAGGAGGCTTCTGCGCTTCTGGAAGGAGCTTGGCTGGCTCACCTAGTCAACCAATCCTCGACGCATAAAGGACAACTCTGAGTCTAAATGCAGAAACCGAAGCCCACAACCAATACGGCTCTTATATTATGTAACTGAATCCAGTAATATTTATTTCGTGTATTTGAAAGTCATCAGTGTCACACGTTCGCATCTTCAACCAATGATCTGTACTGAACAGTGTGTACGTCAATATTTCACAATAGCGTCAAGGTTGAAAACATCGTTTGTGTTCCAAAATCTCGCCATTTATTTAAATTCGGATTCACCGTTTTATGTTTATCATTTACGATACAATTGTAAATTTTAAAATAGTATGTGGAACGCTTCTAAATTTTAGTTGAATTCTATTCTCTGTACTCAATAATGATATATTATACAGTAACAGAAACTGATCTAAATGTATACAAATAGATGCTAATTGAGGTACAAAATGTTTAGGAATTATAAAGAAAATAGTTTTTTTCTGTAGAATGAATGTAAACGTGAAATTTTAGTGTTATACCTACTTATGTAGGTTTTCTTGACGTTGTGGATTAATTCTAGTTAATATATTCTAGAAGAAAATTAAGCGATTCAACGTAAGAAAAAAAAAAATCTTAATTTCATTTTTATTTTTTTTCTAGATACTAGAATTTCCTCCCTTATTTTTAACTTTCTTGCACCTTTTATTAGCTTTAAAAATTGTTGTTGTTATATTTAAGTGATCTTATACTGAGGAACAATTTTTCTTGGATTCATTTATTTCAACGTAAGTATACATTATTATATATTATGGAATAAATGACACAAATTATGGCTAACTAAAAGCCAACAGTCTGTCGTAACATCTGGTAACGTTTCTATTAGAATTTGATTTCCATTATTTTAAAATTAATGAAATAAATATCTCCCAGTTATCTGATTGGTAGTCGGTATCTTTCACGAGGTCACGTGTATCGCCTGTTGGTATGTCTGAATTTTTTTTTCATTTATTTTGGTACGAAACCGTCATTAACATAAAGCAATATAAAATACTGGCTGACCCGGCGAACTTTATTTCACCTAACAGCTATGAATGAGCAGATTTAGGATTTTAAAATTAATTCAAAATTATTGATTGTAAGTTCAATTTAAACAAACCATAGACAACATTATATGAGCTGTCACTTGCGTTTTGTAATATCATTTATAGCAAATGAACGGCTAGACTGATGTTTTTTTAATTATATTGATTTCTATTGATAAATATCATATTTTAATACTTATTATTCTATTACGGACGAAGAAAAATCCAAAAACACAAAAATCCTAAAAATTGGTCCAGCTGTTTTTCAGTTATAAATGGTGTAACTAACACGACTTTGTTTTATATTTATAAATATACTTAAGAAAAGACAAGAAGTACACAAGAAGGGATTTAAACAAATGTAGTATACATATGTCACAGAGCGTTAACTTCAAATAACTTGTGGAAGTGATACAAGAAAAGAAAATAATAGGTTTAAGAGTCAACAGTTATCGTTTAGACATTTTTATAATATTGTTCAAAGCGTTATTAAAAATCAATACAATGGAAGTCTTTGTATAATTGTATATAGTAATTTAGGGGGAATGAAATTTGAATTTGCAGATACATGCTAAAACTTAAGGTCACCACTGTCCCTGGTTGAACTGATGTGTTATAATAGTTCAGCGATACTCTCAGTTATACTATGATGTGATATAGTGACATGTGACGCACGCAGCCATTACTACTACAGACTTATTACTATTTGAATATACTGTATATAATATGAGCACCTAATTAAAATGGGCTTAATTCAAACTACAATAGGACACACATTTGATTGTATTTTAAGAATTACGTAGGCTATTTATACTATGACGTACCTAATAAGAAGTTGCGATTTTGTCACGCCACATAGTATTGATAAGATTGTAAATAAATTGACTCTTTTCGGATGACCTGTATTATCATTAATAGGGCAATAATATACGTATATGCTCAGTATGATAAATGAGATAATATTCTTCTTCTTATTTCTGTAAATATTATAACAGTTAATTCTGACGAAACAAGAACACAAACAAAAGCACGACGGCTCCTGTGGGATGAAGAAAAAAATTACTGACCAGAAATAAAAATACTCTAAACTTTAGTCACAAATACAATATAAAATAACAAAAAAACCTTTCAATTATTGTA